ACTTGAGCTTAAGCAAGCTAAGATTTTGATAAATACTCAATTATGAGAATGGGCAAGTGATCTTCTACAAAAATGCCTCCTCAATTATAATTCATCAAATTCTTAGATAGTTGTGATGTATTAATTAGATCAACATGATGGTAATATGATGTACCACTAGACTCTTTGATTAAGTGTTTTTTTTTTTTTTACACTCCTTTACTTCATGAAACCAAGAATGAATCTTGGGTTTTGATATGATGAATTAAATTCCAAGAAGGAGTCACAAAGTGCAATTATAATTAAAACAAAATAAAACCAAAGTAAACAAGTCCAAGTTGATAAACGAAAAAAAAAAAGACATTTTTTGAAAAAAGAGACCTCTATAATCATGCCTCTTGTAATTTTTCTAAAATTTCCTTCCTCAATTTCTTCTTTCTCATTCATGCACTATTCATAAACTATTACCAAAATGAATCGTATCATTTTATATTCAAATTGAACAACTTCAACAATAAAATGTTTTTTTGACATGAAAAACCATCCTGCTTATCTTTTCAATCAATTTCCTATGAAGAAGCACTTCATCTACATTTTTTCATAACATGTTTAATCCAACACATACAATTACAAACATTAATAAATTGGTCTTTGGAAAAAAAATACAGAAATATCTTTAAAACTTCATTATATCATATAATATTTTTACACCAGTATAAAATTTAAAAATTTTATATAATTTTGACTTGTAAAAATTTGAATTTGATTGACGCGGATGTCATACTACATAAGAAAACGATATAGGTTGAACATGACTCCTCTGTATGTATGCATGTTCTTTATGTATGTCTTTTTAAATCTTTAAAAATGTATATCTTTTTATATCATAAGGGCTAAACTGAAATGTTTTAAGCACCGAGTTGAACTTTTTGGGATGAGTGAAAAAGTCCGAAAATTGAGAAAATAAGACATAGTTGTTAAAAATATTTTAAACCATCAAACATAACTAAAACATGCATACAAGTTACTTTTAATCACGAATTCTATTATAAAATATGTCATGATAATTTAAAAGAATAATATTTAATTAAGTTAAAAGAATCCAATGAGTTGGTGGTTAGACATAGTAATAGGCAGTAATCATAATTTAGACAAACCTGTCTTTATATATTGAGAGAATAATTATACGCAGTAATCATAGTAAAATTAGTCTTCAACCCAATAAATTTGAAGAAATTATAGTAGGAAAAAAGAAAGAAAAGAAAAACAATTTTATAAATTTGTTTTGAAAATTTAATATATTTTCATCCTGTACATAATATACACACACCTTATTAGTTCAAGTAAATTTAGACAAACAAAAATGCTAAACACATTAAACTTTGAGACTAAACCCAATTATATATATATATTAAAGAGAAACATATTTGACACTTCAAAATTCGGTAGATTCTGGAAGACAACCTTTGTAACCCTTTCTTTCCTTCACTATAGAAAACCTTTGTGTTCCCATTTACACCCATTTGCAGAGAATGTGATGTACACTGATACTGCATATCACACTAATCCCATATTATCTTCCCATGGCACTAAACTATAGTTGAGATTAAAATAAAGTACAAAATTTTATATCTATTCCTAGCTGCTGGTCATATTTCTATATGGTATTGATGATGCCTTGGAAATTAAGTTACATGTCATGCACCTTAATTCACAAACATAGAAGGAAGTGCAAGCTATGCATCAAAAAATGAATATAAATAATTATACAAGGCACGATATCACACCTTTAAATTGAGTAAGCCTAAAAAATTTTGCTTCTCTACAATATTGTAAGGTATTTACCCTATACAGCAACACTACAATCACCATTCTGTGAAATATCCTCATGAGTTTCAATAGAAGAATGTTGAGACACTTCCATTACTCCTTTAGCAGATGAAAGTTCACTTCCAGAGTTAATATGGGAAAGCTCAGAATTAACAAGACTGTCAGTTGGATTGCTTTGTTGTTGATTAACCAAACTTGAGTCACCAAGTTGTGAGTGACCGAACTCGGTAACAGCATCCGGAATCGTCGAATCTTCGATGTCGTGGTGACTAACATCACAAAGCTGTGAGTTATCAATCACCATATTAACAGATGGTTGCACAATATGAATCTCATTGCCTGCATTCAGCTCCTCAATGTTTTCCTCCCCAGTCAAATGATTAAGCTCTTGCTTTATTTCTTCATCAACTCTGTGCTTTAGTTCTTCATGGCTAAATTCAGCAGCAACATCATCTGGCTCTTCATTATTTTCTTCACCTGCAGTATACCCTAGCTCTGATTCATCAACATCAATGTGTGTATCACAGAGCTGCATATTCTCGCCATCAGCATCTGCATGAATCAACTGGACAACGCTGACTGCATTGTCTACAGTACATAATTGTGCATGATCCAGCTCTCTTTCAATATGACTTAAATGTAGTTGGCCCACGTCAATAGCAGCGCCATAATACTGAGGTTGCTCATCCTCACTAATGGTGTTATAATGAACCACACCATCCTTTCGCATTCGTTTGCCCACTCCTCCTTTTCTTCTAACCCTCTCCTTTCCTCTGACCCTTTTACCTAGTTCAACTTGGGGGCTCCCAGATGCCATGACCGGACCACCAATTTGGTCTCTCAAACATTCATGTGCAATATATCTTATCCTTGATATTGATTCAATCTGTTGTGGATCTAGCCCTTTTGTTGAAAAGGTATCCGCTATGTGAGCAATATCCCTCAGACCAGCATTCTGCAAACATTTGTTTATTTTCTATAAAAAGCATTTCAAACTTAATCCATAATTGCTATAAGATATAAAACCAAATTCTTGAACATATCCTTACCGTTCTCTGAAACTCAGTTGATAGAGAAATAGGCCTTCCAATGAACTTGCGAGTAATTCTCAGATACCACTCCATGTATTCACTTTCATCTACACCCTCATCCCCATCAACAATATGCACTTGACGGTCCATCCACTCATTAAGCTCGGATTCCATTTTCCCTGACAAATCAACGCCTCCATCAACCCCTCTACTCTTCCTCTCCCACCGCTCCACATCACCCGGAATTGATTGAAGCATGCCATATTGCCTTAAGCATCGATTTGGAAGATGTCTTTCTGCTTTGTCAAAGCATATCAGCATTGTCTTTGACCTCCCAAGAATTAAAGTGCTTTTGATATGTTCTGGAATTACCATGCTGTCCATGTTTCGATATGGGAGCCACTCCACCTGTACATTTACATTGGTTCAACTAGATTGTACTTTTAACACAATCAGAATATTTCTGTATCAGTATTAAGCATAAATGAAAATGAAACTTACATCACACGGTTTTAGGGAATCCAGAGCCTTCCGATAGAATACTACATCACGATTTGCAGTTGGGCCACTTTGTTTTCCTTTCCATCTAAGCACAAAGGGAAAACGATCATGCATAAGCTCAAGATTGAGCTTTGGTCGTCCAATGTTTAAGTGAAAGTAACTCCAACACTGCAAATACAAGATAACCAATTAACACTTGAGAGAAAGGAAAACTACAGTTTGAAGGAATATGAAGATAAGGGTCAAAGAGGAGTTAAAATGAAGCAAAGCACACTTAAATAAATTACCTGAAGTAGTGTTAAACAGCCACTAATGGTACTTTGAGTTTTTAGAGAGGCATTGCCCAGTGCTCTGTACAAGAAAGCCAATGCTGCAGCACCCCAGGCATATTGCCCACATCTAGCAAAATTCTCAAATAATGGCAAATACATTACAGGGACTTTGTTCCCTGTAGTTGTGGAGAAGATAGTGCTACCTACAAGATAAAGAAGATATGCACGAGTATGTTGCTCAATCACTTCGATTGGAGCATCTTCAGGACAACGAGAGAAGAACTCTTTCAACCAACTTAGTTTCACCATTCCACCACTTGTGTAACCAGATTCTGGTGATCTACCAAGATACTTTTCACAAACAGAACTGCATGCTGTATAGGTAATACCAATTACAGGTTCTCCATCAATAGCCAGCCCCAGCAAGAGTGCAACATCTTTAAGGGTTACAGTCATTTCACCAACATTCAAGTGAAATGTGTTTGTTTCTCTTCTCCATCTTTCAACTAGAGCAGAGATAAGTGGATTGTCCAGACTAATAGCCGGGATTGACCTTAGGTATCCAAATCCAGCTTTCTCTACCAATTCAACCTGTTTATGAGTAAGGGTCCACTGATCTAGCTTTGAAGTATGTTCATGACATCTGAGGGCACCACGCTCCTGTTAATGCATTAATATGAGAAAATTTATATAAATAATCAAGATATATAGAAGATTTTCCAGAAAGAAAATGCAAAGCAGAAAGGCTTCTCAACTAGCAAACAGCACCTGTCCATCCCAAACTGCTGTGGAGACATGCTTGTCTTGGTCATACAGAACCGAACCATCAATTGGACCTGGATTAGTAGTATAAGGATCCACTGCTCCAACTTCCATTACAATGACTAACTACAAACATCCATGAAAGAAGAGAAATAAGAAACATGATCTTCAAAGTTTTCTTGATTTGTTTAATAAAAGAAATTTTACAAAAAACAAGAGGCATGCAATGGCTGGAAAGTGCAAACTCTTCAAAAGCAAAAGGACCATCGTAGGTAAAAATTCATCAATACATCAAAGGACTACAGCCTACAAACAAATGCTAAGGATTTTTATTCAGTAGCCCCAATACCAAATTATAAACCAAAAGCCCCCATTGCCCACAAGAAAACTATAATCATAACTTCATACATTGGAATAATCAGAAAGGATGAATGAAACTTGACAGAAGTCAGCATCTATCAACTCAATTAAGTAATGACATGACAAATGATATGTATAAATATATATATATATATGGACTTTTTTTTACCAGGAATTGAAGGATTTATATTGCAGATTTTAGGGATTGATCCTTCATACTATCTAAAGCAAGTAATGGATAATACGCCTCAACTTTGTCTGCCATCTATTCTTGCTTCAGAGTTCCAAAATTCTCTTTCTTTGTTTGAACAGCATTTTGAGGGAAAATTGCCACAGCAGAAATCTGAACAAACACAATATTCACGCAGTCAGTTATATACAATAAACTACAATACACAGCATGTGATATTCAACTGAACACAATATTGATGCCATTAGTGATATTCAACAGGGCACGATATTAACACTGTTAGTGACATATGACACACAGCTAGTGACACGGTATGTGATGTTTGACAGAACACTTATCACTGTTAGTGATATATGACCCACAGCTAGTGCTATTCGACAGAGCACAATATTGTCGCTGCTAGTAAAACACGTGAAATATTACAACCAACAGAAAGTGAAGGGATCATCCAACAGATTTAAAACATTTTTTTTATACTTTAAGGCCAATGGAGTCATGCCTAAAATAGCAAGAATTCAATATAATGATCCCTAAAAGTAAAATAGCAATAAGCCCACAAAAAAACAAAAACAAAAATTATATACCAAGAATTACCACAAGTTCAAATCATGTTACTTTCATTGGAACCTCAGAAGGCAACATTCTTGTACAAGAAGAAAACAATAACTTCAAACTTTCTGTGTCCCACGCAAAAAGTACAGATTCAGAAAGCTAATTTATTTTCTCTTAATTTTATCAAAACCCAGTTTCTTCAATCCATGTATTCTGATTCTTCCATGAACATAACATCAGTTTTCAAGTCAAAAACAAAATCCCATTTCGCATATTACCTCTCAACTACTAGTCCAGAATTTCACCAGTTTCATCTTTATATCATCCCATTCCAACCTCCTGAACCAAACAAACACCGAATTCCTCTTTCAACCTTAACTTCCACAAACACAAGGCACAACCTATTCCACTCAAAACAAACACAGCACATTCTCCCTCAAGGCTCAACCTCAGCACAACTCAATAAACAACTCTTCCCATTCCACAACACTCAACGTAACTCACTCCATAATCACTTCAACAATCAGCTCCAACAATCAATTGCATTACAGGCACCACCCTTTTTTCCTAAAAAACAAAAACCCCACAATCCAGAATCGCCACTCAGCACCAGAAACACAGAGCAAACAGTGAATCACGCAAAACCACCCGCACCCCACCAAAAAAGAATAAAACTTTGGAATTGAACACAGGGGTCCAACTGGGACATCACAAAAAAATACCCACAGAGAAGAAGTGCTGGGGCCCCATACAAATTTGGGACCCCAGAGAGGGAAAGACGAGAGGGGATAGGCAGGGAAAGAAGGTGAGAAGAGATCTGCATGGCTTAAGTTTTGGCTTGGAATTGCATTGAGTTTGAAATAATAATAAAAGAAAAAAAATAAAAACAATGAAAAGTGAAGAGAGAGAGAGAGAGAGAGAGGCTTACAGTGAAGGGAGGAGAACACGATACGACTTCCACCGTCGTCGTCGCTTGATTTAGCACTTAGCACAGGTTTGTGTGTAATTGTTTGAGGGCAACAACACGCAAAAAGGGTGTGTTGAATTCACAAGGGGCTTCCTTTGGGTTTGGCTGTGGTCCATGTTAAACCCATAACTTTCTTAAATCCCTAAAATATTTCTGGGCCTGTGATTATTATATTCTAATTGCTAAACCAACCACCAAATTGCTACATGGAACTATTTTCTTGTTCAGAAAATAAATTATGCATTGATAATGCAAAACCTTGTTATATTGAGTATGTTTGTTTCAACAAAAAATTAGAAAAAAAAACTATTTTTTGTAACAGAATAATTATTTGTTATGATTTTTAACATGTTAAGAAATAGAAGAAAACAAGAAGTTTTATGTTTTATTAAAAGCATCTTGGAGGTGTTTCTCATTAAATTAAATACAGGAAAAATGAAAAATAAATTATTTTAACAAACAAAAAATTTTATATAAAAATTTAAACAATCACATATACAAATATACCCATTATCATCTAGTAACACTATCTTTTATAATTAATTTAGTGAATTTTATGACTATTATTTTAAAAATCATGCTAATGATTTTAATTGATTGACAATATATAAAAGTTATTATAGTAGTAGCAATGCATAACTATTAATCTTTTCATTTTTTTACTTTTGATTACTCAACATTCCCTTCCAATTATAAAGATATGCTAATAGAATAGGATATGAACAAGACATCAATATTAGGGTGGAAGCTTGTAATACGATTTATGTTCAGTTATTTGGACAAGAGAGTCAAAAGAATAACTTCATGGTTAGAAACAACATGTGTTTATTATTAAATTTTTTAATGGAATGCATATTCTTATAACATTTTCAATAGGAATAAATTACTTTGATTTTATTTTAATAGAAATTTTTTTACTAAATTTTAGAAAATTCATTCTTTGTATTATTATCTTTATCCATTTACTTTGTTTTATTTAAGTTAGTTGATGATATAATTATAAAAATTTTTAAACAACTTTATAAGATTCTTCTAAATGGAAAATTGTTTCAAACAATCAATGTTCTTTACAAATTGTTTGGAAATAAAATTATTATTTTATTATAAGATTACACGCATGAACAATATGAACGATTTAAAATTTTTTGTCATTGTTTATATAAAATATTTTTTTTAATTTTAAACACATTTCTTAAACTTTAAGAAATTCATTTATATAAAGATATAATAAAATATTTATTTTTATCCCTAAATAATTTTTATTAGTCGTTCTTTTTAGTTAGGACAAAATCTTATTGGTTGGCTTATAGCTACGTTTTAAAAAAATCCTTTTATGTATGTAGGTTATGTTGATTACAAATAATAAAATTTATTTTTTTGTAGAGGAAGAATATTATTTGAAAAAGAAAAGTTGAATGATGAATTGTAAAGGAATGAGAAAAACTGGAAGAAAGATGAAAGGAAAGATTTTTGGATGAGAAAAAAAGAGAAACAGAAAAAAGTAAAAATGATATTTTAACTAATAAAAAAAAAGTTGAATACATTTATCAATTATATTCATAACCATTATTACTACTTTTATGTGTAATCAGTATTATGTATAGGTTTTGTGCACGGGATCTTGGACATATCACATCTCAAATTTAAAAATCTTTTAAAGTAAACATAGATTAGTAATGATAATGTAGAAAATAAGTTCTTACATCTAGAAAAGTCGATAAAGTTTGACTTTGATAAACTCTTCGAAATAGTATAAAAAAATTAGATTAAGAGTTAAAAGCTTGTTATCATATCAATGTGACATATATAACAAATGAGTCACTCACAAAAAAGATGATCAAAGATTCGTGAGAGATTAAGGAAGATCAACTAAAAGTACTTCAAGAGTAAGAGTAATAGTAATTATATAATTAAATTAAAATATGATAATAATTAAACAATCGTATTATAAGACTTATACAAGTAGTTAATGATTAGTTTTCTATAAATATGTTATTATATAACGGCTCCTAATATATATTTTAAATTATTTCATACTTGAACTATTTCATCATGATTATGTACTTAACTATTTACCATGAGTTCCATTCATTTTATCATGTTAATTTGAAAAGTTGAAGTAAACCATTTTGTCAATGATCATTATGATTTAAAAAGAAAAGAGAAACTGGAACAAAAACGAAAATTGATGTGGTTTTTAGACTTTCTTTTTCCCTTCTTGTTTAAAAAGATATTCCATGTATCTCACTGCCATGGACTGCTTTATAGCAAGGATGAAGTTTAAATATATAAAAAAAATTATGTAAAAGAAACTTTGAATCCTGCAATTTTGTAACCAAATAACTTATTCAAAACTTGGTAGCCATGTCCAATCAACGGCTACATACTGCCACAAAAACACTGATTCTCGTGTGATCAATTTCAAGTAAACATTATCACTAGAGTTTGAAGCTTATGAAGTTGCAGATTTCCTTACACTTGTTCACCGAATGACAAAACACCACAAACTAAAGGGGGTAAACATTAGGGGGGAGAAAAAATGAGTTAAATAAAATGTTGGGCCAAAAATATTATACAGAACAACAAAGATCAACAGGTACTGTACCAAAGCTTCTCTAGCCATCACCTGAATCTTGCCCTTGGGGCATAAGTCATTCATAAAAGCATTGGCAGTTCTAGGCTTCTAGTCAGCTATGTAAATCATGAGAACATCCTGAGGAAGTTGTTTGCATAAGCCATTGGTTTGACATCAGGGTGTGGCTGCAAATTCAACAAAGTAAACCAGACAGAAGGGAAGAATGTCAATCCCAATATAACAATACACATTGAAAGATATGCAGTCATAATGGACCAAACTATTCGTTACATAAAACCATGAATGAACATATTCATTTATTGTTATTATTTTTAGGAAGATAAAGCATGATATATAACTTAGCATAGCTTGCTCTAAAGGATAAAAAGATACTAACCACTGCCGAGAATGTGACAATGTTGGGTTTCAAATCTGGTGCTTCAAATCGAATAAAGGCACCTTTGTTACCCATCTGCAGCATGCAATAAAAATCAACATTTTGTAGATTTTAACACCAACATAACAATTTACTTCAGGAAGGAAAGTGATCACTTTGTTAATATAAGAATGTCCATGCCATTGCACAATGTCCATGAAAACAACAAATGTACAAGTGCAAGGTGGGTAAATATCATTTTCATTTACACATTTAATGTGACAAGAAAAGAATCCTGGTCAATCACGCAACGTGCTTGATTGCCTCACTCCTACACCTCATCTCCTACACAAATGATTAAAGAGAGGCTGGAAGAATAGATTCCAACAGGAGTCTCTTTACATGGTGGGGTTGAGATCCACAAATCCCATTACCCCAGCCCCCCTTCTATCTTCCGTCAAATATTCCGAGACAAGAAAGTAAGAAAATGGCTAAACTTAGAAATGAATGTAGCAAAAGGGATTTGGTTACCTGGTCACAGTAATTTGGAGCAGAAAACACAGTTATGAGTTTACCATCATGTTCAATCTCGTAACCCTCATCCTTTACTTCATGAGATCTCACAACTAAATCTGTAAATTGGTAATTTATGTGAAGCCACTAACTAAAGAACAAATAAACTTTAAAAAAGTATTAGACTAATGGAAAACACACCTAAATTATTTTCCTTCAAAAACCTATTTGTAACATCTGCTCCAAAAGCAAGGCCCACACCACGCTTGCTTGGGCCCCTTCCGGGGAGAGGTTGTGGATCACTCCAGAGCAATTCACACATCAACCCTACACATACCAAGCATAGGTGTATTATAAAATATAATACTAAGGGTGAAATAGCTAGAGCAATTTTAGTCTGTGAAGTGCAAGAACTGAGAGTATACTGTGATTAAAGTGTGGGCCGTTGATTGAGGTCAATTGAAGGCAAAAAAAAAAAGTAAGCATCTAACCTTCTTCAGGAGGTTCACAAAATCGATTAATTGATCGAATGTCAGAGAGTTTGACACCGTCAACACTAAAAAGACCTCCATGAACTACGAAAACTTTCTCATTTATCACATGAGCCAAAGGTAAACAGCAAAATACTTCTGCAAATAGTTCGACAAATGTATCATTCAACTTTGAGCGCACCTCACCCTCAAAACCATATATCTTGTTCATGCTCTTGCTCTCGTGATTTCCTCTGGCTAAATATATGGCTGAAAATCATATGGCAACAAAGCAAGTTACCATATCACAGGGAAAAGAAGAAGATTAATACTCCCTCAAACAAGTGAATTGTATAAAGTGAGTAAAGAAGTAAATGAATGTCCACACAAACAGCACTATGTAATTCACTTGAAACAATAAAAGTAAATATTGCAATTTAAGAGATTAAATTTCCAAAGGAATTGTAATGAACTTCAACTTATAGTGTAATGAAGCAACAGGCCTTTTTTATTCTAAAAAAGGATCACAAAAAGTATCTAATCAGGTGCTTAAGGGATCTTCAATTCATGATGTCTGCAAAAAAGTATAACAAGACTTACACATAAAGATCTAGGGTTTACCTGATGGAGACATGCACTTAAATGCAAACAAAGTGAGGATAACTTCCAATGAAAAAGATCCCCTATCCACAAAGTCACCATTAAATAGATACGGATTCTCTTCTGAAGGAAGCCCATTAAGCTCAAAAATATTCAAAAGATCATAGTACTGCAGAAGTACGGTGGAAAGAATCAATCCGCAATGTTAAGAATTACAGGGGAAAAAATACAATTATACAAAAGCCAAGAAACATGATGCAATTGGACAAGAAAAGACTTCTTCACATTCAAGATAGTTTGAGAGAAATGAAATAGGAGAAAAGAGAAATTTATTAATTATATACCCAGTAGTGACAGGAGGACCCTTTTATGAGAATAAAATTTTCTTTATCTTGCATGAGTGTTACAATAAAGTTACCCTCCTTGTTGTTCTTTATTATTTAGCCCTTCTCCTCCAAGAGAGATTTCATATCCCATGTTTCTGTGATGATTTCTTTTATCCTATCTAATAATTCCCTCTTTTATCAGTGGTTTAAAAAAAATATATAAGAAAAGGTCTTAAAATACAACATGACAGTTAAAGTCCCTCCTGAACAATTGTGCAAATTGCAACACAAAAATTTGCATAAATAATTAGCATGCTTATTAGCACAAAAATAGCTTACCCAGTTCCTTCGACATAAAGGTCAGAGAAACTTACTCCATGAAATATGGGAGGGAAATCAAACAGAGGCCTTAACAACAATCCTATGCCTTAAATGTCTAAAACTAGCAGAAGGTATCACCAAGATATAAGAAACTATATGTTTTACCATATTAAGAAGTCATCAATCAACTTCAGCAGTCCTGAAGTTCAAAATCAAGTATGTGACCCAGATAATATTACAAACAATTCAAAGATTATAATAAGCCAATTACCTGACCATGCACATCACCACAAACAGTAAAATGTTTGCCATTAGGAACATGTATGTCAACAAGAGAAGGCAAAGATTGCAAAACTTCTCTTGTTTGCAATACAATCTGAAATGCATACCTAAAAAATTGGACAGGAAAGAAGACACTTCAATAACTCATCAAATAAACAAATAGAGAAACAACGGTTTTCTTCCTTCAGTACCGTTTATGTAAGAACTTCTGATTCTTGAAATCTTCCATCATTTTTTTCGCAAAATCCAAAGTAACAACATCCCCCTCTATTCTTGCTCCTGAATACTGTGGCTCGACATCTAGCATTAAAATGAAACACCAAAAATTTGTTCATTTCCATGAGTGAAATTATTGTTATAGTAGAACTTGGAATTAGTTTAATAATAAAATAATATAAATCAGAAACAAATGGCCTTTAATTTTAAAGACCACGACATTACAAAATTTACTATTCATCTTTCATACTAAATGTGTGTTTCTAACTCCCAATAAAAAGAAGAGGGTTTGAAGATCAGGAAATTACAATGTCTACAAAATCCAAAGGCATCAATAAAACACATACTCATCCACCTTTCAAATACAAAAGTTTGTAGATGTTGATCCAAGTAGCAATTGAACACCCCAAAAGGAAAAAAATAAGTCAACCAGGCTTGCAAGCAACTGGAAATAGTAAAAATAAGTATAGCATGTACATGATTCTTTATTAGTCAGTATAGGGGAATAACTTATCCTCCTTTCTAGCACCTCTTGCAGTTTCAGATAAAATGTATTATGCTTATTGGAAAAATTACCAAATCAAAATCGGCACAAAAAGATGAACCTGGGTTAGTAGTATCAGAAAATCGAACTAAGGTAATAATCACATTTTAAGGAACTATGGTTACTTAGTTTTAGGTTTTAATTAATTTGTGTAATTAACTTGTTCCAAAAAAATAGCTAGTATAAGGAATTATGTTGCATTGTAAAGAACAAAACAATTTATTTTCCAATGCATTATTATTAATAATTTCATCAGACTTAAATTAAAATTCAGTTTTTTTTTTTCATTGTAGGATTAATTAGTTTTAGGTATTAATTAATTTTAAGCTAAGGCCTGGGTCATGCAAAGGACTCCTAAATGTACCAGTATTGTGGCCACTCCACCAATAAGCCCCGAGGAGCAACAGCAAACCAACCACAATTGCAACTACTATTGTGGTCTTTGATGTCCTGAACAACATCACCGCCGCTGCCATAACTGCTACTGTCACTGCTGCTATGGCCACTTCGGTTGGAACCGAAGAATCGCGGCCCTTTCCTATAATGATACAATATATAGAAAGAGTGATGATTTATAGAAACGTTTGACAAACATTCATAAAAAGACAGGTATAAAACGTCCCTAGCTTATGAAAATGGATTTGTCAGGAAAAGAAGGATGATTAAGGTATGTGACAGAATCCTGAAAGAAGTAACTACTGATTTAGGTTGGGGAAGGAAATAAAAAAAAGTGCATCAACCAAGGGGTGAAAAGGGTATGACCACCTATACAATGTGATAATTTTCTGAACTTTTTGTCACTTCAAAGACATATTCCTCAAACACGAGACTCAAAATTTCTGATAAACTCCTGTTTTTAAGTCTTCTAAATTACCAATGAAAAGGAAGGGGGTGGAAGGAAAAAACAAGTGTATGTCGAAAACAGGAAGGGAAAATTATAATTTATTTGAGTTGGCAAGAAGTGTTCCATTCTAGTTCATATATTGATTAATTGAATAATTTACTTACAGTTAACCATGTATCAAAACATATAGATTACTCTTTAAATTAGTTTGATGCTTGATTAATCATATACAATGGAAACTACTTTATCAGTGGTAATTATATATGTTCTTAGGTTAAAAGTCATTATTTGGTTAAAAGCGTATACAAGCTTAAATGTAAAACATATTGGTGAGGCAACCTTCAGGGTCATTTGCCCAACATAAATATGTAAAAGGAAGATACGTAAGTAGATGACATCATCATCACTAACACTTATTTGAAAGATAGCATCATATCAATAAGATGTTCTTGACTCTTGACCCATTGAGGAAATGAAATACAAACAAACAGAAGGCATAATCTTTCACAAAACATTGGACTAAAGATTTCTGATTTATGGTTCTGGTGGTTGGAGAAGAAAGTTTAAGCATTTGCATTATCTTGATATTTAAATATGCATTTCTTTGTAATACCAGGATAAGATGATATTACACTATTTTGCCCTTCCTTCTCTATCAACATCTTAATGTTGTTTTTTTTTAAAAGATTGAACCAAATTCCATGAGGATGTACATAAGCAATCAAAAATCCCCAAATTCATAGTAAAATAATCCATTAAACTTTTATCATAGCTATCCAAGACCACCATCCTCATGACCATTCATTCAAAGAAACAGTACCAGTGGCCAATACAAATTTCACTACAAAGAAAGGCAATGAAATGAAAAAAAGATAATGCGTGGCATCTCACTCCATTCAATCTATTTCATGAAAATAACAGTGTTCAAAGAAATAAATCCCATCAACAACACAATTAAATGGCAAGAAAACCAAGGACCATATCCAATCAAATAATTTTGATGAAATTGAAAATCTCATGCATAACTTAAGTATCAAACTGACAACATACTTGCTTCATTTTTTAGGATCCAATTGCCAGGTATTGGACCTGAATCCCGCATTAGAATATGGGATTATAATTGGGGGTTTATAAGACTTTGGGCTCTCCATATACAGCATTTAGCTTTTGTAGTGGACTTCTCTCAAGGTTCTTATAAGGATACCAAGCTCGTAGAAAACAAGCATGTATATATGAAAGAATGTTAATTTAAGGTCAAATGGTATTCATCACTGGAGACATTGTGTAAGAGCTTTCAAATAATCAGAAAAAGAAAACGGTTAATCTTTTAGGGTCACATTATATGTTATTTATTTGAAGCTCTACAAAATTAAAGTTGCAATAATACTCTAAGGATACAAAACATCCAACATAAACAAAGTTAAGAGATAACAGCATGACTCATGAAATAATAAAAAATAAGAATTGAATTAAGATACTAGCCTAAAGTACCTATTGTACGGAAATCTATGGATTCAGCTATTGAACGCCTTTCAGACTCAGGTGCAGCAATTGCTTCTTCAAATTTAAGTTTCATAACTGCTTTTTCACATTCCTTCAATTTCTTTGTTGCATCAGGATCATTTGGAGACATTTTCTTGACCTATTCAATAAAAGTATATTAAATGTAAAGATGTTTCTGTATTAAACCAAGTACATGTTACAGAACAATAAGAGTGTCGTAGCCAAAGTTATTTTGAAGGAAACCGTAAGCTTAAAAGTAGAAGTTGCTACATCACAAGCTGATGTTAAAGGACAAGAACTGTCAGATTCAGCCTATTTTCATGTGAGAACATTTCAACAAGGTTAGATGCCAAGAAAAATTTCATATTCCAACAATTTCAATAAAATTTGGCAACTACCAAGTTTTTACTTAAAAAAAAAAGAATAAGCAAGATAACAGCATCTATTGGCACAAGGGCTTGCAAAGATGAGAGAATTGTAATCATCAATTGTGTAAATTGCAGAGCCCATTACATGATTGCAAATGTGCAACATTTCTGTTGCAGTTGCCCCTGAAACAGTATCAGGCTGCAAGTACAGACCACATTGACCCACATTAGCCAGCAACTACTACAACTGCAACACAACCATAACCAAAATTCAAAACCTAAGTAATAATCTAGTTCAAGACATAATAGTCTAAAAAAAACAAAAACATTACTTAGACTAAACAAAACAGGGAAGGTACTTCACAACCTTCAATTTGTCCAAATATTTTATCAAAGTCAATTTTTGTTGTCAAATAAATATAATTTTTAAAATCATAGAATACTTTGAATCAAAAGTAACACCAATATCCCTAACTATCTATATTAATTTGTATCTAATCCTAAACCCTTATTTCACCATTGTCCTAGCAACTTTCTTCTAAACTACCACCAATGTCTTTATTTTCTTAATGTTTCAATCTCTTCACATATTTCGGGATGCCAAACTCTCTAGCTTGGACAAATTTGCAGTTTTCATTAGAAGGATAACTATTGTATATTCTAGAAGAATTTACAGGGTAATCTGCAGAGTAATTAACAAGTAAAAGTTAGAAATTCAAATTAATCAAAAAGCATCCTTCATTTTCTAGCATATAGACATGTTTATGTTGTAGTGCTATTTGTTATATGAATATATGTTGTAAATTTTATACTGGAGAATACAAGAGTTGATTTTTCTTCTTTATAAACTATTGATGCTTGGTGGCCACCTTATTTCCAGATGTTTTAAAGGATGCTATTTTTTAAATTTCACATATAATTTGTGAATATCATGTTCTTTACTACTGATTTGAGCTGTGCACATTTTTGTCCAATATTCACTAGAGATTTAGAATTGTTGACCTATCATGTTCAATCTCTTAGTAGTACAATAAAAGGGAATGTGGGGGGCACACAAGAATTCAACTGGGATTCACAGTGGGAGAAAGCAAGTCCATCAAAGTCAAGAGAATATTAAGCTTTTCTCTCTTATTCTTTTTTCCCTTCCTTTTACAGTGATTTAACCCATTTTATGGACCAATATCACTGATATTCAGACAGTGTACATCAAGGACATAATTACTATTTCTGTTTCCAGTTATTAGCAACTGGTACACTGGATTTGAAGATGGAAGAAAAGGAAGAATGGAAGAGAGTATTAAAAAAAAAAACTGGAAGCTAGACTCAAATGCACAAAGGAGTTCAGAGGCTGAGCTGAGGTGCAGCATCTCATATCAAATTTTTGCAACTGTCAGATTTATTTGATTCTGAGAACTCTCTTCAATACTTCTGTCCTCTTAGCTGCTGTGAGACACCCACTGCCATTGGACATACTCAGAGCTTCTGGTCAAATATGAGCTCCATTCTGTAAGCACTGCAACCTCAGCTACTGTGAGATACCATCCAAGCCTAGTCAAGCGCCTGAATGCTGCATTTATTTGTTATGTTTTGTTTCGGCATTGTTTGAGTGAGTCGTTGGTGGTTCTATTGGGTTTGAGGGACTGAGACTGATGCTGCTTTGCTAGTGGTAATTTTAATGTTAATTTTCTTATTCATGTTACTTCATATTTCATTTAAATATGCTGCAATATAACTTGTATATTATCTCAGAGATTTGGTCTTTAACCAAGTCAAATAGCATTGTGTGATCCACCTAGTGGGATAAAACTTTTGTTGTAGTTGTAGTATAATATTGCATATTAGGTAGGATCTAATGACCCACATTATGATCTCTTGTTTTACTTGTCTACCTCCACCCAACATCCTCTCAATTCTAGTTCTAGGTGTAGTAATATCAATCTTAACAGCATCGCCTGCAACATCACTTTATTTCTTCTTTTACATCTTTTTGCAGTCTCTGTAATCCATATTCTAGGCAAGTGACATTGATATCAGGCAGGAACAAACACAGTGTACATTCAATAAAAAATACCAATTTCTGACACCAGATTGCATATTACCATTTTTCGGCACACATGTTCCTCTCTTAAATACTAATGTTAGTCCTTTTCATAAAATCTATTAAATTTGTTGCTACAATTTCTATTTTGCATCTCTGAATTCTATTAGGTACTCTTTTCTGCATAACTAATTAAAGGACTGTGAATAGTAATCTATCAATGTTCTCCAATGTTTTGCAATGTAACTGACTACTAATATGAACATGTTATTTGCAATCGAATCTCCTTCAGCCCAATATTTTAAAGACATCAAAATTAAAAGCATTTATAATTGCACTACCTGCTGAAAATCTTTCAGTGCTTCCTTGAACTTTCCCAGCCCAATATGAGCAGCACCTCGCCTGTAATAACCCTATAACAATAAACCCTAATCAGGACATTTTTTTATGAATGTAAGCTAAATATAGGAAAGCCTCTAATGTTTTTGGACTCGGAGAACCTTTGAATATTTAGGATCAACTTCAATAGCCTTTGTGGCATCTTGTATTGCACTACCATATTCCTCAAGCCGAAGATGGGCAAAGGCACGATTAGAATAGTAAACTGCATTTCCACTGTTCAGCTCAATTGCTTGAGTATATAGATCAATGGCTTGGGAGTATTTTCGAGCTGAAAAAGGACTCACAAGGTCAGCAAGCATTTAGCAAAGAAATTTGTTAGAGCAGTGATAACTAATAACCTTATCAAAATTGAGTTAGATTCAATAACTCAGCTAAAATTTACTACAATATTCACTTCAATGGTGAATAAAGTAAATGAACCATAGCACAGAGAAATTGTATTAATTACCATTGAAAGCTTCATTTGCAAGGAGTTTAAGTTCTTCAGCCTTTGATAAGTTTGACTTTTCAGTTTCCATCTCGGTTAAAACTTAAAACTCTAGTTGTAAATGGTGAGGAAATTCAGAACCTTACAGAATCAATCTGCTCACTTCTTTTCTTCACAATTATTGACAAACTATAATTAAAAAAAGAAAAAAATATTAGTACTATTACTATAGTAATAACAAAAACTGTAATTCTCAACTTGTTAAGGAGCTATATTTTTAAAATGCAAAAGCTTCATATGCTATACATTGTGCTAATTTAAATTACCAAATCCTACAAAAATAAAGTGTTGCTGTATGAATAACATAAAACCAAAGCTTATCACTGTAACTTCAAACTAATAATAAAAAAGCCAATTACAAACAAGCTATAATTTCATAATCTTTGTGTCTCCTACTAATGTAAACATCAAAATGTCAATCATTGTAATCACATTACTATCACTATCATCCACAAAATTATATCACCACTATCATCAACATCTTCAATCCCCACTTCAAACACAACAGCGTCATTTTAATCTAGCTTTCCATTCCCCAAAACCAATCCCCCGCACAATTAACTCTCCAAAAGCAAATACATCCCAAGGGCTTCAAAACCCACACCCCCAAGACAAAGTACACTCGAAAATAAAAGAAAATTCTAGGAAAAGGGTCAAAACTTGATAAAAGGGCATCCTTGAGTTTTTTTTTTTTTTTTTTTTTTTTTAACACACGCAAACACAAAAAAATGAGCATCAAACACACAAAAAAAAAAATGTTCCTTAATGATTAAGGATTAACATTACATACGATACATGTATTGAAAACTAAGCTCTGGAAGTGAGGATTAATAAAAAGGAATCGTGCAATGAAAAATAAATAATAAAAAAACTGAATGATTGTAGAAGCTGTGAAAAAGTTTAAATAAGTAGGAGAAACTAACTTGAAAGGGTAAAGAAGAAGTTGGGGAGAAAAAACAGAGAATAAAGAAGAAGAAGATGATTTAAAATAGGGTAAAAAGGAGAAAAGAAATCTGGGGTGGATTAATTCCAAACACGAAGAAGAACAAGAACAATACAGAAAGAGAGAGTTAGGGTCCGTACGATTAGGAGTTTGTATCTTTCAGCGGGTGGAGGCTGGAGAAACAGTGAGTGAGTGTGGGGATTATGAGACACAAGAGAACACAAACACTTTCTCTCTCTCTCTCTCTCTCTCTCTGCCTACACACCCTAATAATCATGGACTCTTCAACCCTCCCTTCTATATCTCACCTTCCACACACATTTGCAATTTAATTGCAAATCTCTTTCTTCTTCTAAGCAACAGATTGGTGTAATAAATATTTATTTTATTTAACAGAAGGTAAGATATATCTTATTTTTAAATATATAAATTATAAATGTTGATCATAGATGAAAAAATTGAATATATACATTATATTTTATATTTATGATAAATAATTAGTAATATAATACAATATTAATTTTAACTTAAAATGTTTTTTTTATTTAAAAGTTTATTAATTAAAATTTTTATTTCAATTATAAAAATAAATGTTACTATATTTAATATATAAAAAAGTCAATGTATTTATTTAAAATATAATAAAAATAAATGTTTATTTAGAAATATAAATAACATTAATATTATTTTATTAAAAATATAAAAAAGTTAATATTATTTTATGAAAAACATAAACACTTTACATGTATTTTAAAAATAGAGTCTCATTTAATATTATATAAGAGGTGATTTTTTTCTTTTTAATAAACTCTACTCTACAGGGTAATTTATTAAAACAACTTATTAGTTATATATAAATAATTTAATTCTAACTTTATACTAAATACTTAATAAATTTCTAGTAAAAAAAAATTAATATTGTTTAGTCAAATGGTATCTCTATAATGAGTTTTGGATGACATTATAAACCTTTTATATTATCAGATATCAGATATGTCAATATCAAGGTAAATTTATCATGAAGAAATTTTAATATTTATTCTGAATTTTATAGATGTTCCAGTTAAATAGTTACAGAATTAATAAACTAATCAACACATCTCAGGATGATGGAAACATTTTGAAAATCTTGCACTCACAACAAACCAGAATAAGAAAATGTATTGCAGCAAGCTCTAATTTGAACAATGGAACAATTTTACTTCCCATGTTAGAATTTACACTAATCATTTCCTTAAGAGGCACAGACTAGTAACTAATATGTTAAATGCTTTACACTAATCAATATTGATAAACAACTCCTAGGATTGGAATATTAAAATTACAGTAACATTGCTCTTCCAAAGCTTGCATAAGTCTCCTATATAATAACACCTTCTTGAGGAAAACTTAAGTTTCCATCTTTAAGTGAGTTTATAGAAAACCATAAACCTCTTACTCTATGATCCTCCACCCCTTTGGCACACTTATATGATACACATATACAAAACAAATATTGATAAATCAATTCCTCTTATATTAAAAAAATATAAGATACAATGTGTTTAATATATATATATATATATATATATATATATATATAATTCATAAAAATATTATTATATATAATTATTAAATATTATTTAAATTGAACATATTAAATATATTTTTAAATGTATATATATGTGACTTTAAAAAAATTTAAATGTAAAACAAGAGTTAATAATAATTATTTATTGTTTAAAAATATAAATAATATCAATTTCATCTCCACCTTGAGCATCGGAAATAAAACAGTTTCCATATCTCGGTTCATCAAGAGATAATATTGTTGTTCTAAGATTTTCAATATCGTCAAAATCATCTTATGCATCTGCACTAATGTTCCACATTTTAGAGTTCCTTAGTTTATATTTTTCATTTTGCCTAACTAGAAGTCTTAAATTATGTACATAAACAAAATATTTTACTTTTTTAGAATTCAACTTATTTCTTTTTAATGAGTGAATGAAAGAATACGTACTCCAATTTTTTTACACAACGAGATGACGAGCAAGGTTGTACAAGAAGCTTCAATGTTAACTTTTAAAGTAGAGGGGCATCGAAACCATGCATCACCCACCAAGATTTTGGATTTCATGTCCACCTATCTTCTATTGAGTTAAAAGAAGCAAAATTATTTGACTTTGAAGAAAAGTTAGCATACTCAAGTGCAAAATTTCTTCTATCCTCACTAGTTGTAAAAAGTTTTTTCAAACATGTATTCCTCTCCCTAGAAATCTCTTCATTCTCATGTGATGGGATTCTTTTTGGAGTCTCTTGAATTCATTATTCGTTGTAATATCTATAATTAAAAATTATAAAAAAATTATAATATCAAAACTTTCTAAATAGTTTTATCTATAAGTTATAAAAAAATGAGTATTTATAGGATAATTTTACCTGGGATTCAAAGAATGAGTCATGCAATGAAGATAACTACAACTTTTAGTTCACCTATCAATTAGTATACCATAAACAATTTCATAAAATGTTGATGTATTATTTTTCACTTTCTTTTCTTACCTATAAATGATTGTCTTCACCTTTTCTATCATAGTATCCCACATCTCATAGACCACTTGAAGTGTGAGACTATTTGTATCACAAATACTGAGCATGTTATATATAGGTTCAGTGAAAGCTAAAATGTATGCAATTTTTTTCCCACCATATATCATTTAAAACAAAGTCTTTTACCGCTTGAACCTTACCCATATCATCTTCTATATAGGAATTTCATTCTTCACTTATAACCATGCATTACAAAGAATGTTTCAAAAATTTAAATCTTATCATCATTATTATAAGAGATGCAAAACGTGTATATGTAACAACAAGCAATTTCAAATATGAGAAATGATTAAAATTTGTCAATCCCACGGAGTGGTTCATGATAAAATTCCTAATGAAAGAAACAACCTTAGTAACTTCAGTAATCCAACTATATTCACTATAAACAACATTGTAACACCCTACCTTATAAACCCTCACTCAGAAGAATTAATAATTTTTAGCAGATTTTTTTTAACCGATAATAATCTTTCCCTTTTACATAATATTAATATACATAAATTTTCAATACTCATTCCTGCATTTCATCATTCTAAAAAGTACTAAGGGTAAACATTCATAATTACATATAGATAAAATACTAGTACAGTCCTTCAAAATATTAAGGGCAACATTGAGGATACTTCCTACAGAGCAATTAACTACACAAAAGAGTAACTACTACCCAATACCATGTAGGTCTATGTACTACAAAAGACTGCCTATAAAAGTTTAGATATGTTTATCCCAAGACATGTTGCCATCATTGTGGCTCCCAGCTAATGAGTATTAGTGTCGTATTCATCGGGTGTGGAATCTGTGTCATCTCCCCTCTCTTCAAATAATGACCGATCAGGTCCAACGAGTACCGCAACCACAAAGAAAATAAAGAAAACAGAAAGACAAGAGGGTGAGCAACAGTTCATACATCATTTTAAAATCAACATCATAAACATTCACAAGTCAATCAAATTCCAAATGATTTATGTTAATGATGCATGATCCTAATATGTTTTCTAAAATGTTTATGCATGCGGACCCGAATCATTTCTCAAATCAGTACTGGGGTAGCCAGGAGTTGACACTACTAGGCATGGAAAATCCACCCACGGGATTGTTGAGACCCATGCTCAAATATAAATCCAGTAGCTCACTGACCATTGATATACGGTAAGAGCACAGTCAGGTACAGGAGAGTTTGTACAGTGGGATCCCCGACAACAGGTAGCGAGCCTGGGTCTTTTGAGGCCTCCAACCACTACCCTTCCTATCCTCAAATCCTCCCTCAGGGCCTCCCTATCGTATTCTCAGAGTCCATAATCTTTGATTCCCCAGATTTCACAAATCACCATTTTCAAATGAGTAGTGTATGAGTCTCTAAGTGGTTTTTCTTAGAAATTCACATTTTTCCAAAAATTTTGAAGTTTTTAGCTTAACCACTTCTAATCCTCAATTTTAAACATTATTCTAGTATCCTAGATGTAAAACCTACAATAACACTCTTCCTACTCCCATTC